GGAGTGGATTTTGGGCCTTCTAGAAGCGCTTTTTCGCTCCAAACTTCACTAGTAGTTTAGCTGGGGAGTCCGCCATCACAAGGTTATCAAACTCTAGAAGTCACCAATTTGAGGGGACGCTTGCCTTTAAGGGGCTGATAAACCATGCACAAAAGACAATTATGACCTTAAATGTACGATTAAAGTGCAAATTCTTGTGAAAAAAAAATAGAAAAAAATAAAATAAATGTCAGGCAATGCTGGAAACACGGTCCAGTACAACTCGTTCTGCTGATACAATACTCAAGTATGCTAAACATTGACATAAAATATTCATTTATTCATACAACCCACTTCCAAATTTTCATATAACATAGCTTCAAACAAGCTTAATCAAGTAATCGATACATTGAAAAAAAGAAAGATATAGAACATATAAATTGGCATCTGGATAGCTAGGCACTAAAGCTAAACGGCTCCCGTGGCGGCTTGAGACTACGCAAAAATATGTATATGTAATTATTACAACCACAATCAAAAAGTTTAGCTTCGAGAAACTTCCAAAATCATTTCGAACTAAGCATTAATGGAGAACAACATGTAGAATAAGGCAAGAACGGAGGATTTAAAAGATCTTGATCAGATGAGCAGAAGAAGTTTCGCTGCTAACGTCTCACTTTTCTCTTAGTTTCGAAACAAAGTGTCCCATTTGAAGATCGACGACAAAAAAGAACTGTGCAAAGGAAACCCCACCCCCTATCGTACCCCAACAAAAGTACCGAGTGCCCGAACAACATACCGCGCAAATGTGATTTATCAATGCGTAATAAAAACATGTAAAAAGAGGCAACGGAAGCTTATGCGCTCTTGAGTTGTGATATATTCACCTTTTTCAAACTAAATCTCAAAAGAGAATGCGAGGAAATTGCATGATTGATAAGAAAACTTAATGACAAGCCAGCAAGTGAATGAGAGGCGTAAGTGAGGGCTGCACGAGTAAAGCAAAAAGCAAGCAGATATAAGACTCTACATTCACTTATTTACCATATTAGGTATAGGATTTGCTCAAGCAAGGTAAAGACGTCTTAAAGTGATTTCTGAAGGATGGTCAAGAACGGGAGGATTAATCACGCAAGAAGTGCACATCGTACGCAGGAAATGTACCACAAAAAAATTGCACGTCAGAAAACTACACACATTATGAAACGCATATAATCTAGCTTAGTGTTCCAGGGAGCCAGCCATAAAAAAATAGTTTAGATTACTCAAGAATACAAAAAATGTACAGGCAATGTATGAACAAGAAGGCAATATTACAAGAGCTAACCTTTGTATTAGTAAAAAAAGAAAATAGTTTCAGATGCGAGCTAGAGCTAAAGATCCCAGGTTCCGTTCTATTAGTTGGAAAGAAAGAAAAATATACACTTGAACGAACGCAAACTTTCGCTGGGGAAACATCAAGAATTTCGTGTTACTCAAATGGGTCCAAGCTGTCCTTCGGCAATTTTTGAGGACAAAACTCTAAAATAAATTGCTTAATGCGATCATAAATAACAAATGAGAATAAATTCAAAAAAAACGACAATGAATAACTCACAGATCGAGCAAAACATCCTCGAACGATGTGTAAACATGTATTCGCTCTTCAAAGTCGACCGTTTGATTTCGTCGATGACAGTTACCAGATGGCTTTTCAGGGACATCAAACAATGCTGGTACCACGTCTAGCATCCCAGTATTCAAAGCTGCTCTAAAGTCACCATCAGTAGTGTCCGGAAGCAGCCTGTAAGAAAAGATAAATATAACTTTCACTCAGAAGCTGCCGGAATAGCGAAAAAAACACATGACTGTATTATCTGATGACCTTTACGAGAAATTCGTTTGTAAGAAACATACCCAAAGATCAAAAGACTCCGAAAGGAAAATTTAAGAAAAGAGAGCTTGTAAACATTGAATTAAAGACTCGAAAAAGTCTATTAGGTCATTCCGAAAGTTCTTTCCGTTTTTTCGA